ACTGCGCTGATAGAACCTATGTTTTATGTGCTTCATCGAGAAACATGGCTTAGGAAAACTTTTGCACAGATCGATATTCGCCGGTGCAATTATCTCTGATAGAATAGCAAAAGCGAAATAATCTGGCCAGCAAAGTAGTGCCTCATTTAGCCTTGAAATGGGTGACAAATGGTGGCTGGATGAAACAGGAGAGGTGACTCGACGGTAAGGCTTAAGTGCGTCCAAATTTGGATCTTTTCGGATGTTGACGGGTCACCTAACGTCGTTTGTAAATCTTCGCATTCTTAGAGGCCGCGGATAACTTCATCCTGATGACGGTGTGAAGGAAGGCGTGAATGCGTCTGTGTCAACCTAAAGCTACACCAAGCTCACGACGAGGAATCACTTGCCATTGTCTTACCGAGTTCCACGACACTAGCTCAGCTTTTTGATACCTTTAGATTATTTTGAATCATGCGTCATTTTGTGTTGTCAACTCATTCATTGGGGTTGCGTGTTTACTTTCTCTGCTGAGTATACCTTTGGTGCGACAAGTCTGGTCGGCTAATGAGCTTAGATACACTTTTGCTTGGCTCGTAAATCACAGTTAGAACATTCACCACCGACTACACCATCCGTACGGCGTACTATCAGACGAGGAATATTATAGCTAAGGAAGTAACATTTATCTCAGCGTTTGCAGGCAAATAATCCTGGTCATATTAGCTGCTACATTGCTGGCCGATTTCGTTTACCACATAGTCTCAGGGTGATGCCTGTAATACAGAAGTTGTAGACATCTCGATCGTAAAAAGACTTACGACTGAGAGATACTTTTCGATCAAGAGAAAGGCGTATGACTAAGCGAGTGCATTGTACCAAAAGCCCAGCACTTATTATGGGTACGCTAATATGTGCGATCGTGTTAAATGGTATACATTGGTGTAAATTTAATTTGCTTAAAAGCTTCTAGTAATGGCGACATCGTAGGCTTGGTCGACAAATTGCATACCTCGCTGTTGTCAGCGGCATTGTTACTGAGGCAGAAATAGCCAAGCTATATCCAAACAGCGCGACTCGCTAAATTGGCTTGCCAGTGGCAGCTTTCTTGAGCTAGCCCTGCCCGTTCACAGCAAACTACGCTCAAGGCACTTGGCACCAGATTATAGAACGAGTAGTGACGTTATGAAGGACTTTTTCCAAAGCACATGTGTGGAGCAGCACAATGCGTTGAGCAAAGGAGAGAACGTTATTTTTCCTTTACACAATACTTCAACTCGCCCCCACTAATCATTATGTTTTCATGATTGGTTCCTGTCTTAGTGGAACATGAGTCTTTGACACTGATTGACCTGCTAATACAATTTTGGTGACAAAAGCACCTGAAAGGTTCTAAGCGACATGCGTCAAGGCACGGCGCTATGGCTAAAAGTCAAGGCATTCAGTAACAACAAGCAGTGGAAAGTGTCCTGCTTACCCGGATATAAGCGTTGCTTTTGAGAAGTTGATACCTACGGATGTGGATCAAGAGCACGCCACTGTCAGGATACATTTTCGCCGCACAGCGTTTAGGAAGTGAGTTTGGCGCACGCGTCTATCTTTTTCTAGGTTCGCGAGCTTTTCTTCTGAAAGGCCGCGTTGCGGCGCGGAGAGCTTCAGCGTGCATTGGATTTGACAATAGAATCTTTAGTTACGAGGTACAATTACCACTATCAACCCTATTGAGGTATGCTATGGCTCATGCACTTGTCGACGAGCAGGGTCTAGCCCAAACAATGACACCTCCCTCTGTCGTCAGCTTCGTGATGTCGGCATTTAAACCTGAATGAGGTTGCAATTTTGTGAGAGCTACAATCGAGTGGCCTACCAGGGACGCGTAGTCTTCTTTAACAAAGATGGGGCTCGCAATTCAGGGTTGTAAATTATCGAACATCGATACAATATTGTGAATACATGGAAAGCTGTGATAGGTTCAGAAATTCGTGCAAATTCTGCGATGCAAGTATATGGCTATCATAAACAGTTACAAGACGAGGTGACATAAAATCTAGTAGAAACAGGCGACTATAACTGCGAACAGAAGGGTCCAGACCCTGCTATAATAATAATAACCTATCTTGTGCCGATGTACAGGAACTGCTACTGAGTCATCACTACCATGAAATGTATCCACCTTAACGATCATGCAAACCCCACGTGTTGTAACAAGAAAGCCAACGTAATCCTCAACAAAGCGGCGAATAAAATCAAGAAGATCTAAGTCCCCCAACATTGTCCATAAGATTTTGTTGATCATGAGGAGTTTAGCCTAGGCGATATCTGAAAAATGTTGCAAGACGGTAAATCGCTTAATTGGGACGGTTAGAACTGGAGGATGGGCTGAGATTAATATTCGTAATGAATGTGTCCGCCATTAAGGACATGAAAGAGTTTGATTGCGATGGGCGGAACACTTATTCTTAAGAATCTGTCGGATCCGTTTTTCAATTATTTTAATTTGAACAGTTCGACAAGGTTTAGGAATTCCATCACGAGTGTTCTTCCGGCTTGAGCATCACGTCGCACAATAGATCTGGGTTTTGGCATCGAAGCTGCGTGGTCTTTACCGAGAGAACGATGTAAGATCACATACGCTTTCTTCTGCACAAAACACGAGGCAAATGTGGTGGAAGATAGAATGACAATTATTGAGTCAGAAACATTAATGGAAAGATATTATTATGCATGATTGTAAGACGGAAATGCAGCCACTATTTCAGCGCAAACACCACTGACGAAACAGGAAATGCCACGTTGCGTCTTGTTCGGTGCTATTGAGCCAGTTGTTGAATGTGATCATGTACTAAATAGAGATAGTGGCATCCCTCGCACCTCAATAAAAACGTCCAAACGAATTTATTTAGAAGTGATCAACTACGTTTCAAAAACTGTCTAAAGCATCAAACGTCTGGTGATGCAGTTAATTAACTTGCATCGTGTCCATACACATGCCATATTCGACAATGTATGCAATGAGTCAGGTTTCATTACACATGTTTGTGGACCACAAACTTGTCTGTGTCAAACCTAAAATATACACCCTGTATAGTTAGAAATACCCTTTAGTTCTGTTGTATCAAAACTTCAACCTTATTAAGTTCAAGGAGGTTTAAAGCCCATTGGCAATAATACAAATCAGTCACTCCACCGCTTCTCCTCTTTACGTAAGTCAACGGCTCGCTGAAAGTGAGCAACACGTAGTGAGGCGTGTCAGCTGAACTAAGCCTTGCTCAAAAAGTGTGTGTACTCGAACGGGCAATTTCCGTTACACTTGGTAAACTAGTAGTCATTCCAACGCCGACTACGTCAATACATGAATCGATGGATAATGTGCTAACCACAGGCGGTGGTAGTCCTCAGATCAACAGGGCGGAATATCTGTTTCTATACACTCGAACTATGAGTATGAGACGAAGCTGCAAAATTTAATCGAAGATTATGCGGTCTTCGATATGCTTTGATTGGACCAAGAAGCGATAACTTAGCGTTAAGTTATCGAACGCTAAGCAAATTTCGCTACGTATGAGTAAGGATTTCTAAGATGTTTATCGCAGAATGCCGACGCCAGTTCCGTCACCTTCACCTTACCCTGTCGGTACACACGAAGCGTCCCGTGGAAATTAAGGTGATAAGCTTTCACGAGAACAAAGATGAAAATGCTGCGTTCTGGCAGCGATAAATGGACATCGCTATCGCGGTGGCTCAAATTCGTGATGACCGTAGTCAAGTGGCCGTTGCCCTGTCGCATTTGGATGGTCGTGTGAAGGGTTAGGTGATGACATGGGAAGTCAAACGCCCTGACTACTTTACCACAGGGCAAAAGTTAGAAGGGCCATGTCTGACACCGAATGTGGCGTTTTGACAACGATCAAAATTTTGTCATACGATCATAACAACGGCTTCGTGACAGTAGGGCAAGCAAGCCGCTGCCAGAGGCAGTGATGGTCACTGTGTTTTCGGAGGAACTCTCTTATGGTCCTCCTTAGACTTAACTCTTCCGCAAGAGCCCGGCGACTCCTATAAGATGCAAATATAATTGCAATGCTTGGGGAAAACTGTCAGCATCAAACATGCATTCAATTCGGTCAACCCAATGGAAGCAATGACTGCTGCCGCGGAAAATCCGGACCCAATGAATCTTAGCGTGGTGACTGTCCGTAGGCAGCAAATTCGCTGTTATGGATCTCATCAATTCGGTCACATCCGCCGTGACTGTCCACGTGAGAGACAAGCTCTCAATACGGCTCGCGTCGTAATAGTCTCAGGTCATGTGGCATTAATATTTGCGACGCATTCGGAAAACAGTAGACGCAGGGTTATCCGCTGGTGCAGTTATAAACTCTTGTGAGTGTGGTGATAGAATCACTTACGTGTGTTTAGCCCTTGGAAAATTTTTGTCCTTCGCTAATAGCACAGCTCCTCGTGATCACAGCAAGTGTGAACGTTTATGGTGGTTCGTTTAGAGCCTTGATGACTCTGGCGCGTCGCGCGCGTGGAAGAAAATTGTTGGTAAAATAAATTTAGTGCTATCATATGCACCAATAGAGGCACTGACTTTATTTCAGTGAAGTTGACCACTGCTGCGGTGGTCGCCGCGAAAAAAACGGTTGAATATCAAACCGAAGGAAGTATCCACTTTTCTCGAGACGGAAAAACGGTATGGTTTGATATAAGGCATATTTTGCAATTTGATAGCTACCCCACAGAGGACGGAGATAGGCTCAAGCCCGCTCTCCCACTTTCAAGCCGACAAACAGTTGACGCTCCGCCCCCCCCCGTTAGTTCGGGTCGTGCCTAGCAGCTGCTCTTAGCTTCCGAAGTTTGCGTCTTTCAGACAATTAGATGTCGGCGGTTAGCTGTAAGGTCATCCCTGCCGAGCGACAAAGATCTAAGATCGCTAAGGCAATCCCGAAAGTATCGACTGAATCTGTTCCAACTACATTGAAGTTAGATTCACTCATCAGGACGCTAGGCCGACTGACGTGAGTCAACGAAAAGCTCAATTTTACGTAGAGTGGAAATGAGCATGCGGTGTAGGCTGCACTTACATTTGGTCCGGGTATTTAGGTAGCTTTTGACCAGTGTTTGCTTAGGTGTTACTCAACACGAGAGGCGCAGCATCCGCTTTTCCACCGTTTCTCACTAAGCTTTGAGCCAGCTTACCGCAGCTCTTCTACTTAAGTTTTTGGGTGATTTTTTACTTTCTGACCCTACTTTCGTTTTTCGAAAATCATGTCTGTACCTCAACGAGACAAAAAGTGGCGCTAAACCTGGCAGAATGCTGCACCGCGAGCCGAACTATCTCGGCCTACGGAATTCTGATTTCGAAGAAGCTGAGGCTGCCTTACTGGACCCTGCCCGTGACAAGCGATGTGCCGCTTTTGCAGGCGTATCACAACAAGTTTCACCCGGGTTTTGTCTTCTGATGTGGATCCCAGCCCGTGAGCTTTCAGCTACGTTTTTTGATACGAGAATTATGACTTCTCTCGGCTCATCGACCCAATCCCCTGTGTGGTTGAATAGTCTAGAGCACTTGCGTGCCTTCAAAGCTATCCGCGACGCCAGTATCAGCTTTCTTCGCACCGACAGAAAGGTGTGTACCGAATTGAAGGGGCGGATTAGTGACCATTTGTGGGCGCAAATTTAAAGTCCAGACGTGCTCGAAATACTCCCACTGGTACTTTGTGGATCTTCAACGATTTTCCGATAAAATTTTGGATGAACTCATTTACGAATGGTGTGCCTTTTTCGGCACACCATCTGTGTACATTACACCGGCTCACGTTGTAGGAGGGCT